TAAAACAAATAGATGAAATACTGACATGTTTAAAACATAATTGTGTTCCAGTTAGGTGGTTTCAATTATCTCCMCAACTTCAAACTAGTTCCTCAAATTAATAGAAATGTGTTTAATATTCAAGTAAAATTTCAAGGTTACCTTCAAAAAGTTCAGTCTTATGAAGCAAATAAGTAGAAGTCAAAAACTGTGTAAGTAAAATGTCTATGATCGCATAGAGGAGACAAAAGGTGTAGCCCCATCCAGATATACTCACATGAACTTTCTTCTCCAGAATTAGGAATCATAGCAAAGTAGAGGACCAAAATAAGTAAGGACCTGCACAGAGAATAAACAAAGCAATCATTCAAAGGGGAATCATTTCAATAGAAATAGACTTTCTAATGAAAAGAAAGATTATAAAAAGGCACTTGAAGTATCCACACACTTAAATAAGAACAACCACTGTAGTTGGCACAAGACTATGTTTCCTCTAAATAGAATAAGTTGCCAAAAGGAAAAAAAAAAGAGGGGGGTGGATCTCTAATAAATTTTTGAGCTTAATTTACAAACAATCTCCAACCCAAGTTTTAGGAGAAACACCGTCAATAAAATGTTATCCTTCGGGTAATAGACATGGGGTAAAAACTACTGAGTGCCAGTTTCAAGTGGTGCAAAATTCCAAATATGCATATTTGCATCATTCCAGTTTGCATCATTCCAGTTGGATCCCTTTGTTGCTATTTCTCCTCTGACTGAGAACTAATCACTACACCAGCAATTCCCATCTGCCCTTGCAGTGATTGGTGTTTCCCCAGAGACAGAGACTCACTAGAGCCAGGCCAAGCTGATGATTTACAAGCAAAAAACAGATCATAATATTAACCATTTAGTTATTTGTTCCACAACTAAACTTTCTTTAATACAGAATGGCCACTCTGTGACCATCTGTTCATTTTTTTTTTAATACCTATGACTGAACCCAGGGTTGCTTAACCACTAAGTCACATCCCCAATCCTCCTCCTCCTCCTCCTCCTCCTCCTCCCCCTCCTCCTCCTCCTCCCCCCTCCTCCTCCTTCTTTTATTTCTATTTTGAGACAGGGTCTTATTAAATTGCCAAGAACCTCTCTAAGTTGCTGAGGCTGGCTTTGAACTAGATATCCTCCTTCTTTAGCCTCCAGAGTTACTGTAATTACAGGCATGTGCCACAAGTCCTGGCTCACAATATAAATTCTTTAAAACTGAATGACTTATTTTGGCTACCTTGCAATACCAGAATCAAATTYTTTTTCACTTCCTCTGCTACTCCATCTATTGAAATAGGTCATACCTACCTGCAGGATAGCTGCCATTGTTTAAAAAGAATTTTAAATACCTCAGTCAGAAAAATTMTCTTGCCATAACAGCATTCTCAAATAATACATTTTCGATGTGGAAATATTTGGGCTTACAGTCTGAATTTTTTTTTAACTTCAACATTAAAACATACTAATATACTACATTCACAACATATTTTACAGGTTACACATAGTTCTTTAACATATTTATCTATAAATCCCAGGGAGTCTTCTGAGAGAATAAAGTGACTCCATTTTAGGAGATATGATCCTCAGAACTGACAGGCTAAACTCTGCATTTGGATTCTTAAAATGATTCTCTGAATTTACTCCATGTTCTAACCTAACCATTTAGAAATGGATTTGACAGGGATCTTCAACTTTATCTCTTTATTATGATCTCCCATGAGGAAATTTGAAAGATTTTTTTTTCCCTAATCATGCTGCTTCTGAAATTTTAATATCTCAGACACAGTATCTACCTGTTATACATGTTATGGACATCTGTACTTTAAGTGGAAAATCACTAAGATTTTTTTCATCCCCCAATATGCCATTTTCATATATTCATGATGTTTCATATATCATGTCCATTATATTAGGTAACTAACTTATTTTTTAAGAAATAAAAAATAATGTGGTTGTTTACATTTGGGTCTAACTAAAATTCTAGCTATTCTTCAGAACACAAGTCTGTGTCTGGTTCTTAAGTTCTGCATCACACTCTTAAAACTATTGTACTAACAAAATTATATTATGTATGATATGTTTGTTTGTTTGTTATACATCTATTTCTTGGAATTGAAGTTTGAACACCATTCTTATTTATATTGTGACACATCATATATCTAGTTCATGAAATTATCTGACTTACTCTAAACACCAAACAACATTTTGAAATAGATAAGTGAAAATTTCCTGATAGTAACTGTCCATATAGGCACATTCAAATAACCATATTAATGCTATGGAAGAGTCTGGGGGAAATCCCTGTAGAAGCATCACTTGTCTCTGCAGGTTCCTAACCTTATATCCATAAGGGGCGTCAAACCAATTCCCTGACTGCGTCACTTATTCTTCTTCTAAGCATCTCTCTCACCATGCGTCAGTTTCCTTGAAATTGAACCTCTATCACTAACTATTCAGTCCTGGAGCCCTGGACTTTCCATTTTGGATGGGGCTCATACACGTGTGGAATGAGATCATCAGATGGCTTTTACCTGACAGGAGAAATAAAGAGAGTGTGGGGAAACCTGGGAAGTGGAGGCCAAAGCAGAGCTAAAGGGAAGAAGATACCCCCCAAATAAACAAGGAGATAAACCCGAGAACAATCTTCATGACACAGCTAGTGACCAGGTCTGTGTTTTGATGTTTTGCATGACAGGACCAAGAATTGTTGTGGCAGGAATGGCAGAGAGGGTAGAATCCCAAAGATTTAAAACCTCGCTTAGTCTGAGTCTTACTTTCTTTTGTAGAAAATGGCATTCAAAGATACAATTTGCTGCATTAAGAGAGTTAAAATATGTAAAGGACCTAACAATATAAATGCCTCATAATTGGCCTTAACTATATATATATATATATATATATATATATATATATATATATATATTTCACTTACTTTCCTTATTAAGTAGTGTCTAATATTTTCATTGAATTGAGTGTCCAGATTAAACCAAGTATCCTTATATATTAAATTATTTTGTTGTTCATCTTAAGAGCTTTTAGAAGAAAACATACAGTTTTTTTTTTTTAGGTCATTTTATTTTTAACATTAGAAAAAAAAATCAGATGCAGTGTCTTCATGAGAAATTTTTAATGATGAATGCCAAGGATCATCTTAACAATCCCTAAAATGTTTGCAAACCAGTAAGACTGTCTACTGAAGATGTCAGGTTTACTTTCATCTCTTCCTTTAGTTCTTACATCTTCCACGATTGTTGTTGACAATTTATAATCTCATTGATCTCACCCTTCCACTGAGCAGTTGGTATAACCACAAAGACAGAATCATTGACCTGAGTTTCCCCCTTTAAACTCTCTTTTATCTTGGACTAGAAATGACAGTTTTCTCAATTCTGCTCCCCCATCCTTATTCCTGAATTGCTTGTGTCTCCTGTCTATCATAAGGCAAAGTGAATCACAAATTATTTACTCTGGAGTCTTTAGAAATGTTTATTTATTTATTTTACCAGCAATGAAAACTTAATCATTCTTACTGGATCAAGGGCTGACTACATCAGCTTCCAGGTGTAAACTTTATGAATAAAATGTCCTATTTCTTATGATTTTGAGACATTCATGCATAAGTCAGAATACCCACCCCCCAAAAAAAATAGTTGTTCCATATCTGATTTTACTGCATGGTCAAATTATGAGAGAAACAGCTCCAAGTGACCAGTGAGTATGAGAAAGGGAACATTTATGAGAAGAAGCAGGATTGGGACAGTTGTAATCAGAGAAGTTTGATTCACAAAGACATTTGCAGTAACATAGACTGACCTGATATTTTCTGAACTCATAGAGGAGCATTGCTGCTGAAATACATTGCTACAAGTCAGAAAAGGACACAACAAATTTGGCCTCGTTGTTCTCCAAGGATAAAGTGAATCTTGAGACTACATATGAAGTCCTTATGTATACACATTTACATATGACAAACAACTGTGTTTTATTGAAGAAAGTAGAACTGAGTGTTGGAAAACCCATATTCCAATTTCATAGCTGAAACTGTTGGATGTGTGAACTGAGGAAAGTACATTAGACAGTTTCTGAGCTCCACTTTGCTTCTTTGTAAATTGGGAACAGTTATCTTGAAACTACCAGTGTAGTACATACATTAAATTACCTAAATAAAGTGAATGTGTTCAATATATAAAATATATATATTCATTTAAAATAAATATATGTATAACACATATCACACCCAACGGCTTTATGATCTTATGCCTTTTTGGTGAGATTAAATAAAATAATGTTTACACTTGCTTCTGAAAATGATTTCTAAAGTATTGGTAAGARAAAATAAACCTTCCTTTATGTTCAAGAAAAACTGTGAGCAATGAGGATATCTAAGAAAATAAGAAATCAACAGTAATTTCAAAATTTCTGACTTATTTTTATGACAGGAAAAAATAGAGATAGTTCAGGAATAATTTCTTCTGAGGTCATGAATTGCTTCTTTTATGAATTTCTCTCTTTTTATATTTTTAGGTTGCCAAAAACAATGTAAAATAATGAAAATCAAGAGTGATTCTTTCACTCCCCAACTGTCAACCTCATATGTTCATCTAAGGATTTCCTTCATCACAAAAGGCCAAGCAATTTTTTTTTAAGTTCTAAGACCAAGGTTCTGTAAGTAGAAACCAATTCCATGCAAATAAACCATGTATGAAAAATTTAGTAAATTCTCACTGAAACTGTTGAGGAATGCACACATCAAAATCATCACACTAGAGATTTAAAATTCTTATGTGAACATTGCAGCTTTGCTAAAACACATTAAACATTATCAAAACTGCTCAGCAAAAGTCTAACCAGTATAAGTACCCAATAAATGTTAGTTTATTTTTATTTTTTTTTTTGGGGGGGGGATTGCTTTTTTCACCAATGATCTGTAGAATGTGTTACTTCTCTCTCGGTATGTGTGCKGCAGATACCATCCTCCATAGTTATGGACACCATCACTGTCTTGGCACTATGAACTGAGCAGTTACTCTTCTCTTCCACAAGCTCCTCATGGCACTTTTCACCTCTGCGTTTCTCACTGTGTAAATTATGGGGTTCAACATGGGAGTGAGGATGGCAAAGAACACAGTCACCAACTTGTCCACAGGGTAGGTGGCCACAGGACGCATGTAGGTGAATATGCAAGGCACAAAGAAGAGGACGACAACRGTGAAGTGACAGCCACATGTGGAGAGTGCTTTGTGCCGTCCTTCAGAGCCGTGAGATTTCAGGGAGCTCAGGATGACGATGTAGGAGATGAGTAGCATGGAGAAAATGAGCARGCACATGGCTCCACTGTTGGCTGCCACCACCATTCCAAGCAGGTAGGTGTCTCTGCAGGCCAGTTTCAATAATGGGAAGAGATCGCACATGAAGTGGTCTATGACATTGGGACCACAGAAGGGCAGGCTGATCATGAAGAGAATTTGCACAGTGGCATGCAGGATCCCTCCAATCCAGGCTACCACCACTAGGAGGCGGCAGACTCCCTGCCTCATGATGGTCATGTAGTGCAAGGGCTTGCAGATGGCCACGTASCGGTCATAGGCCATGACAATGAGGAGGATGATCTCTGAGCCTCCCAGGAAGTGCTCCACAAAAAGCTGAGTCAGACAGCCACCCAAAGTGATAGTTGTCCTCTGGTAGAGCAGGTCGATGATCATTTTGGGGGTGGTGACAGAGGTGTACGAGGCATCTATGAAGGACAGGTAAGTGAGGAAGAAGTACATAGGAGCCGAAAGCGTGGGGCTGAGGGAGATGGTGATGGCGACGAACAGGTTGGCCAGCACGGTAAAGAGAAAAATGAGCAAAAAGACGATGAAGAGGAGCCTCTGCAGGTGTGGATTCTGCGTGAGCCCCAAGAGAACAAATTCAGTCACATTACTGGGAGACATGAGGTGATCCTTTCAGGAAGTGGCACCTGCCTGGGGACGGAATTACCTGTAAAAAAAGGTAAAGAAAGATAACAAATTAGCCATGAGAGGGTTGCAGGCTGAGGTTCATAGCACAGAGATGGGGCAGTCATGGCTACTGTGGAGCATGTCCTTGCCCACCCCTGCCCAGTGATKGTCTCAGTCATTCTTTTTCATTTTCCTCCATGATGCTCTCCTCTCCTCACATACCTAGTACTACCTGTCACCTATAAAGCTTCTGTGAGTTGACACTTATTCTATAATTTACTGAGAAAACACTAGGCTCTACACATGAGATCTCATTTCTCCTGTTTCCAATTCCATGTCAACCTGCTAAGTAATCCCAGCAGTCTCTGCCTTTGAGCCCCTATATCTGTGAATTCAAAAATTATAGCTCTGAGATTTAATTTGTAAACTGTAAAGTGTTGCACACTAGTAAAGGCTATTCCCTCTTCCAAAATTTRCATTAGAACCCAAGCTTTACCTGTGRAAGAAGTTGGCCAGGAAATACCTACCGTGAGCAGGCAGATAGGAAATATATATAAGTCACAGGAGATTCACCTTCTCTGACACCTACCATAGCAATATGCAGCTTTCTCTTTCCTTGTGTCTTCAGCATCTGGCACCTTTGAAGTAATGAATAAATGCATCATGAATTCCCTCACTTCCTACATTTCCATGGATGAGGATAAACATGCTTCCCTGGTCATAAACCAAGAACAAAAGTACCCTTGTCTTCCCAATCTGCTTCTCCACACCATCTACTCTATGAAAAACATAAACTTCTGAAACATAAACTTCAGTTCAATTTCCAGCATATTTAGGGTATGTTACTGGGTATTTTGGCTTTCAAGATAATTATAATATTAGTTAATTAATAGTGCTTATTCTTGAAAATGATGTTCTACATATAATTTAATATAGTCCCATTCATTATAGTTCCAATAGAGTGGAAAAAAAAACCTCTTGAATAGTATCTCAGTTCATTGAGATCTATTAAATAAAAATAAAACCTAATTACAAGGTTATTAAAATAGAAATTCAATGTGGAGAATATAAAGACAGTGTCACACATGATAGGTAAGGTCCTATTCCGAAACACACACATATCAGTACAAATGCATATATTACCCTTAATAACTGCAAGTGACCATTACACTTTCACTCACTCCACAAACATTCATTGGACACTTATTATGCATATTAATGTATTTTGTTCATACAAGTTGTATAAATATCTCTGCCAAAAACCTTGAGTGATTCCTCCCTGGTTTTTTGTTACTGCATAGCAGCATCTCATCCATTCATGAGCTGAATGGTCACCTTTACTTCTCCATGTGCTTCTGCAATGCACATTCTCCTGTCTTTGTCTTTCCATAGCATCCATCATGCATAACTCTTGGTTAAGGAATATTTCACCATGAATAGAATGGGGAAAAATCATCCCAATTTGAAGACATAAATTCCCCCAATGAAATGAACAGCAAAAAAATACATATAACCAGATGTATTCTGCAAAAACAAACAAACAAAAAAGACATCATTTCTTTCCCTTTCAAAGTTTAAAAAGACAAAGGGTTTTCATTCTTAATTTTCAAAAGCTTTTACATAAGTTAAGAAGAAGTAGAGAAGCTTCATTATATTCCGTTATTTTGAGGTCTATTTAGTAGATCTCAAAGAGTATGGTTAACATAAAATAAAAAGAAGCAATTAACAAAAGTGATTAAGAAATAATTATGAAGAAGTGGACCATCATTTTGTCTTATGTCTTTGATTTTACAATACTCTTTCTGGAATTGAACCCTAAGGAAAATATTTTCACAAGAGGAGAATTCTTAGGTAAAAGTGTTTTCAGCAAAATTATAAAGAACCTTGAAAGACAGGAGATTGTTTAGAAGGTTCAACATTAGAGCAGTTTATGAGTATACTATAGTGCCTCCCATCGATAATGGATAGCTGTTAACAGAGATTTTTAAAGTATGCAATTTTTATGTTGTAATAATGTGGGTAAAATTCAGAATGTAAATTTAATGAATAATATAATTATGATGGGTTTAAATCATTATTTCTAAAGGGAAAAAAAGACCCACAATATTTTTATTCCTAAATTGATGGGATTATAGTTGATTCAATTTTTCTTGTGGCTGACATGCTAAAGAAAGATTGAAACCTTAGCAGTTTGGTGAGGATAGTCATCATTATATGATTTTTAGGGTGCATTTAATCCTGAAAATTTGTAATTACATGATTTCTCACCTGTTAACTTGTCTGACACAGCTCCATGGTCAGGGCCCCAAGCAGCTTCTAGTTCATGAAAAGATAAAGTTAGGGTAAAAATGTCATGTAGCTCAGAGACAATGAGTCTTGTTGATTTATAAGTGCACCATTGGAAGATGCCTTCCTCTGGAGCCTTAGCAAGAGCTGCCACATATCCTGTTTGCAGACAATTTCTCTCAACTATCTTAGCTGTGGCTAATTAGATCTCAGGGGTGTTTCATTGTCAGCAGACCTTGCCAGAAGCCAATTATTTTACCTTAACGGAGTATTAGAGAACGTTCACACACTCATGTTTAATTGTTAACTTTTTCCTTAAGTCCACACAAACTCAAATCATTCTGTCAAAAGAAAACAAAGTAAAAACGAGTCTGCCATTACTGAGTTTGGATATTTGATAATAGAGGAATTTAGTATATTAGCATGGAGTTTGAATATTTGGTATGGTATCAACTGAACATTTGAGTAGGTAACTATCTTATTTCTTAAATTTTATTATAATATTTTCTTTATCAACCCATCCTTCATTCTTATACTTTTTGTTGTTGTTTATGCAGTACTGGGGATGGAACCCCAGACCTTGAGCATGCTAGACAAGCTCTCTAACTCTGAGCTACATTCCTAGACCGTAATCCTCATTATAAGAACAGCACTTCAACTCAGGAACAATTCACAGTACTTCTTCAAAGCAGTTGTTTCTCATGCTAATTCTAGAACTACATTAACATCATAATAAAAATARTTATATTCTCGAATTATATTTAGACATGTTGAATGCATTTTTTTCAACCTTTTAAATTTAATCTAATAAAATTCCTCTGTAAAGAAGAAAAGGCATCAATGTTCCTGCCTGATAAAGTGGAAAACTGAGTTAGGGAATCAAAACATCATTTGCCAAGGTAACACAAAAGCATTGGGTCAGGTTCCTTATTCTTAGCTTGTGTTTTGTTATTACTGTGTCATGACATTTTTTATGTTGTCACCAACTATGAGGCCTATAGGAATCATCTGCAAATATAAACACATGTCAGTATTTAACATTATTTTAAAGAATAAATTAAATTCAATTAAATGCAAGAATATTCCTATATAAAATTCTATCCACTCATCCATATTCAAATATATTTTCTACAATAGGAAAACGAAATTGTACATACATGTGAATTGGCTTGAGAGAATTCTGTCACTGTGAGCAGAGTATATCAGGGTGGAAAAACAGTTTCAGGAAACTGAAACTATATGATCAAATCTAGTTTGACCAGACACTTGAATATTGTAGAGTTATTACATTTGTGATAGTAGGTGACAAAGAAAATTGAGTGAGAATTTGAAACTATGTAAATAATTATAATGAATATGCATTTTGCTGGAGTTAGCTTGCTGGAGAGAGCATATGGAGATCACATAAAAAAGAGAGAGATTCCCAAGGAGAGCACCCACCATTTTAGACCCCACTGTTCAATGTAAGATCCTTTTAAATAACCAGTACTAACCAATTTCTGACTGAACCTTTGAAATATCTTAAGCCAGAAGAAGCCAGTTGAGCTGCTCACAAATTTCTGACCAATAGAAGACAATTGATGTAGTAATAGGGTGATGGTTGGTATTGTGGACCACCAAATGTTGCAGTGATTTATACACAGCAATAGTATCTGAAATTCTACAGCAATTTAGATTCTATTGAATTGGCTCACAAATAGACAAACTAAATAAAACAGAAAACTAAGAATGAGAGTTTATATAGAGATTWTTATGTATGAAAGGTGGCATTTCAGGGTTGTGGGAATCTGGCTATTCAATAAATGTGCTGTGAAAATTAAATACTTTTATAAGAAAGCAAAGTGTATTTCATCTCATATTATATTTAAAAATTCGAATGCTACAAGGATTAAATTTCAAAAGCAAAATTTCAAACTTTTAGAGAAATTTAACATTATATATGACCCACAGCAAGGAAGAACTTCAAGACGCAGACGCAAGGGTTTTCTTCTGAGTCCAACTTCTTCATCTCTGCACCATGAGCGCTTTGGGTCTGAGAACTCAACTGTCTTCACATCTCTATCCAGGTGCCAAATTCTCTACTTCCAATAATTATGAAGTTTTTTATTCTCTGTATTGGATTCCTTTCTCATGAAAATAACCAGAGTATTTTTTATTTTATCCATTAAATAAGAAATGAAGTTTCACACTGGCTTTTACTGCACATATGCTGAATAACTGGAGGTGTTAATATTGCTAAGTACCTCAAATAAATCCATTATAAGTTGAGAAAAAGATTAAGAAAGAAATGTCAGTTTTTCATTGTACATGTTATACGTGGACTTTTCAACAAGCCCTAACATGTAATGCCAGAGCTATCTGAAAAATGATCTTTGAAACACCGTGTTAGATCTCCAAATGTACTACAGAGCAAAGACAGAGAAACATCTTTGATTTACCATGCAAGGCAACAAGAACATATAGTTTATAGAAAATCAAAAGGGAATTTATTGTGTAAAATATAACAATCTCTGTTCCCAAATCATTTAGCATTCCCTGCATTAAAGCATAAATAAGTGCTCCCAAAGAGTTGGATTTAATGTAGGCAGGTCTGGTAGTTACTCTGTGGTTTGAGAGACTTAAAATAGGCTTTTCTTCTATTGGAAGAACCCAGTTGATCTGCATATATACAATGGTGTTGAACAGAACCTCTAAAAGTTGGTCAGGAA